AATACCATTCTGCGCTGTCCTCCCAGCCCAACCCGCAGCCCGGTGGCAGGTGTATAAAGCAACTTTTACTTGTGTTCACTCTGTTGCTGCATTGGGCTATAAAAAGATTTAGACCTGTGGAAATGCTGTGTGTTGGCAGGGGCCACTCACTCAGCAAACATCCAGAAAGTGGGCATTAAGCTGCTTAGGAGGAAGAAGAGATAATTGATTATTCAGAAATCAGCTGGGAGTCTAGTTCAGCTAAACTCAGACACTTTGCTTCCTTTCTGCCAGCCTCTCTTCACATCAGAACAGAGGAAGGTAGGGATTGGCAAGATGGGTAATGCTGCTCTCTACCCAATCCTCTTACTAGGAAGGGACAGAAACCTCAGGAGAAAGTGACAGAATCAGGTGGAAAATTGTCATTGTGGAGGGTGGTGGGCACTGGGCATGTCCACACCAGCCCATAGGCTTGAAAAGGCATATTTCAGAAGGTTCAGGGAGGAAAAAATAATCTGTGAGCAGATGGAAGAGAGAGGGAAAGGTTTAAAAGGCAAAATTCTAACCATACGTCACTACTGAGCTCAGTGAGGGGAAAGAAGGAGAGAGCTGAATTAATTTTTTTTTTTTGAGTTGGAGTCTCATTCTGTCGCCCAGACTGGAATGCAGTGGCCGCTCCCGGCCACCGCAACCTCGACCTGCTGGGCTCGCGGGATCCTTCCGCCTCAGCCTTCCAAGTAGCTGGAATTACAGGCATGCACTACCACGCCCGGCTGATTTTTTGATTTATTGTAGAGATGAGGTCTTGCCAAGTTGCCCAGGCGGGTCTCGAACCCTCGGGCTCAGGCAATCCACTCACCTCAGCCTCCCAAAGGCGCGGGATTACAGGCTGAGCCACCGAGCCTGGCTAGAGCTGAATTAATTTTAAAATAAAATGAATGTGGCTACCTGGAAAGGTCTTAATGTATTCAAGAGTTTTAAAGGAAGGTGTAATGACTGGCTAAGGTTCTGCTGGACTAAATAGACCTAGCTAGCCTAAGCAACAAAGAGAGTTTGTTGGAAGGGTCCCGGGGTATGTCATGGAATTCCAGCATCAGAAATGACAGGAATCAGGGAGTTGTGGGAACCTCAGCAGCTGGAGGTGGGAGGGGTACTTCTTTTCAGAACACACGTGAGCACGACTCCATCGTCATGCCTCATCTCTGCTTTTTGCTGTGTGTGTGTCTCTTCTCCCCAGACAACATGATGGGTCTCCTTACAGCTCTTGAGGGTGGGTTGCTGATTCAGCCATTTTGGAAGAGAAGGCTTTCTCTTTCTTAGTTTGAGACCCTTGGGAAGGAATTAAGCGATTCAGTTCAGAATGTGTGCCATGTGTTTAGACTAACCAGTTGTGGGCTGGGTATGGTGTTGCATGTCTGAGCATGACCGTCCCCAGCTGCAGACGGGGCGCTGCACAGTTCCCAGAAGAGGGGTGGCTAATCAGATAGTCCAATAGATTCCAACCAAATAAACATGTAAGCAATGACAAATATAGCTCCTAGGAAAGGCTGTGGCCCAGAATGGGTTGTTGGTTGGGTGAAAAATGCTAACAGTGATAACAACAATGTCAAGCTGTGAAGAAAAGGGAAACAGCCATTGCTTGAGAAAGACTGAAATGCCAACAAATGCCAGGAAAAGAAGGAATAAGAATTCCAAGTTCTCCATTCTGAGAAATCTTTCCAAACTAGAGCGGATAGGACAGACAAGCCTGAGCCAGACTTGCCTTTTGTCTTACCCTAATAAATACTCAGAGCACTAGCAAATCCAGTAAATGTTAAAATTGGCATTGGTTCAAATCCCATGTACTTGTATGTCATAATAAACCTGAAGTCAGCACTTAGGTTCAAAAAATCAGTGGTAGAAATTTTTTTAAAAAGATCTGTGGAGCTGGGCTTGGTGGCTCAACCTGTAATCCCGTGCCTTTGGGAGGCTGAGGTGAGTGGATTGCTTGAGCCCGCAGGTTCGAGACCCGC